AAACAAGCATACAGTATAAAAAAGTTTGACAAAATACAAATGATTTTTTGTAAGGCAAAACTTGATGCTTCAACTTAGTTGTAGTAAAGTTTCGCTGTACATTAAATGTTTTCACATTTTTTTTCTAAAAGTTTAAAGTGATTGAAAAACATAAAGGTACATTTTTAAATTTAAAATTTTTGGTATAATATGGTAGGTGTTATGGGGCTCAGGGGGTTTTGGGGGGATGGGGAAGTTGAGAGTTTGAAGGGGGAATAGAAAAAAAGATAATAAAATGGGGAAAGGGAAAAGTCTTTTGCTTTTAAAAATTTGTTAATCTAATTTGTTTTGTAACAAGGTATTTATTGGGAAAAAGTAATCTGAGATACCATGATGGCCCTTTTTAAAATCAGTATACTGTTTTTAAAATTTGAAAATTTGATCATACACTTTCCCAAATTTTCATTTGAGGGAAAAAAATGTATTAATGTTGGTGAATTACCGACAATATTTTAAAGAAAAGGGACACAAGTGCAATATATACTTTTAAAAACCCTTTCAGGGTCCCCCTAGATCTAGGGCGGGTCGGTGAGTGTCCAAACGAGATTACGCCAAAATTTTTTGCGCCGGTAAAATTTTAGGCAAAAAGCGTATGGGCCTACTTGAGAAAGGGTCTGCGCCGTGGTACGCCATAAACAAAAAATCTAGGCGCCGCATAGCTTTGTGGGAACGCCGGCTCAGTCCCCCTTGTTCCCATGCCTCGTCGCAAGTCAGCTCCACCCCGGGGGAAAAATTGGGACTCCCCTCTTCCTGTCTGATAGTTCTGACACTGATGGAAGTGGAAATAAAGACATTCTACGGTTTTGATAAGTTAGTGACCGAAAATAATACCGGATATCGATATAGTGCAAAAAAAACCCCGAGACCCTCGACCTTCTACCTCTGGTGTGGGCACTCGTGACTCACGTGGGTACTCCAAAAGTAAAAAAAAAACTAATTTTTTCCTGTGGCCTGGCCTCGACTTCAGAATGACGTGTTTGCTGGATTGTGATTTTATTGCGCTCGCGATCATTCGAGTAGTGATATGAGGAAACATATTCCCGTAAAGCGCGGTATGTTCCCCGCCGCTGCCTCGGGTAGTGTACCCTATGCTTTGCCGGGGGGCGGGTCACCCGGATACACCCGGGTTAAACCCGTGGCCCTACCCCGTTTTAGGTGTGATAGTGAGGATGATGTGGAAAATTTGGGCATGGATGGGCCACAGACTCATGGATGGTTTAGTGGGGCTGGTGGGGGTAGTGGAAAACGCTGGTGCTCGCTGTGCCAGGGCGGGAACCCACGCGTGACGAGTCAGTTAAGGAAAAAGCGGGCGTACCCACCAGCCCCCCCAAAACCCACCCGTCACCGCCTTGTTCCTTTCCCACCAGCAAAGTATCTGGGATTGGCAGCAAAACCCCAAAATTTTGTTCCCAGCCCTCACCACTTTGTGATCCCCAAAGTGAATTCACCTACCTTCCCCTTGAACCACGGCCAATAAAACTGGAATTCTTTGAATTATTCTTTTTACCCCCCATTGATGGAAATTTTGTCAGGGAAGTAAAAATATTTTCTACACCTGGCAAAACGATCTTGTACCACAGTCAAACACACAGGTGGGAAAGAACGCTGTTGCAGAAAAGATTTGCTTTTTTTCAACAATAATGTTAGCCTCACGTCATAAAAATAATATAAAAAGCATGGTCCCAGATTTGGTAATTTGACCCCCTCCTTAGTGAAAAATCCAGGAAAGGTTTTTCTTTTGTTACGAGTTGACTTCTCTGACAAAACCGGCCGAAAGAATGACGGTTTTTTACAAGTTAGAAATGTTTTCATGTATTCAAAAAAATTAGGTATCTTTAAACCCTTTAGAATCTTGTAATTGACGAGTCTTTGATTTTGTTCAAAGGGGAGACTGTCATTTAAGCGTATATACCCAGCAGAGGAACCGCTTTGGTATAAAATTGTTTTTACCTGTGATTGTGACAGTGGCCGGTGTTGGATATTTTTGTTTAAAACGGGAGTAAAAATTTAAAAATCCAAATGTTTTTGGGTAAATTTTAGGTACGTGTGGAAAAAATGAGGGCCCTTATTTGGGGAAAAGGGCTACTTTTTTTTTAACCCAAATGGTACAAAGCCTTACTAATGATTTCATGCGAGTGAAAAGACGATTGTGGGCACAGGCGTTTAAAGTAAAAATTGCCCAGGCCAACGCAGGTGTTCGTGGTTTATATGTGCAGGGGTTTATGCCAAAAGCATCATGGCTTACGGGGGGCATGACAAAAGAGATTCACATTGTTGACAACCATTCACCGTAATGAAAAGCAAGACAGTGCAAAATTGTCGGGTGACTAATGAACGTATTCAAAAAACCGTGACGTGATTGATTATTTCACAAAAAATGCGTTTGGGTTACAAGTGTGACATGCAGATTGGTTTTTTGACTGGTTCGTAAAAAGGGTTTCAAATGGGGACATGAAATTTTCTTCCATCTCATGGGGCATTTCAATGTGAATGCATTAAAATGTACCAAAAAAGTTGGGAAAAGACACCGTATGGTGAATTTTTTTTTCTGTTGTCAGACAAATCATAATGAAGTACCAGGAACAACACTCAATTCCATGGGCCCGATTCATCACAATAACCCAAGGTTTAGAAAAGAAGGTGTTTATTTCATATCCTTCCTTCAACTCAAAAGAAATTTGCTCAGAAGAATGCATTGGGCTGTGCACAAACAAAACGACGGCAAAAAAGACCAAAGGACCTCGGTTTATGTGTGAGGAATGTAAGGGGCCTCGTGCAGGTGCCTTTTTTCAAGGGTTCCAAAGCCCACAGTTTAAAAAAATGTCAGGATTTTAAATATGTAAAATAGTGAAAATTAGTTTTTTACATATTTTGAGGGGTTTTTGTAATAAACAACGTGGTAAACAATTTAAAATGATAATAATTTAGTGCGGTTAGTGTTTAAGGGGGGTATTAATTAAAATTTTTACAGATTTTGGCCCAGGCCCCAAAGTTAGTAAAAAAAGAAAAAAATTGGAAAAGAAAAGAAAAAACAACTAAAACAACAAAATAATATAATACGCGTATGTGGAATTCGTTGATGTTGCCGCCACCACATCATTTTCTACAAACTTCTTGGCACTGTATCTCGGTAAGTACTGATCAGATTCTAATTTTTTTTTGTTTTATTACCTTCACAAAAATATGCTCTTTAATTCTGTAAGAAAAAATAATTTTTTTTTTTTTTCAAAATTTCTTGGACACTGGTGCGTGACTTCAGATTTTGGCCTTGGACCCTGAAAGGGTTAATTGTGGTAACGTTTCACTGTCCAGGAGCTTTATCAAGCCATTACAAACAATACATGGACACAGAGAGTATATATAAGCTTAGAGTGAGGTGTAATACTAGTAGCTGTAGTAGTAGTAATACAGTATGGTAGAACAATCACCTCATGAAATTCAACGGCGCCTGACTAGTGATCAAAGAAGAACCTAATTTCCGCAGACGTAAATGCCTTGGATCATCATTAATCACTGTTTCTAACACAGTCAAGAAAAATGAAGGCAGCTTCATCATCTCTGAAGTATTAGCAAAAATCCTGATCAAAACAATAAATCCTGCCATCACATAGTCTCTGCTGCTAATACTACACAAGAACATAACAAGGGAGGAACACTGAAACAGACCTTCTCAAATCCAGCCACTTACAGAAATATTTGTCTAACCTATTTTTATGCTACCCAAGTAATTGCTTTTATAACCTTTTATTCATGTGCAAGTTGATTGTTCTACTGCTGCCGCCGCCGCCGCCACCACCGCCACTGCCGCCGCCACTGCTGCTGCTGCCGCCACTGCCGCCTTTTCTCACTTAACGACGTACTCGTTTACTGACGCCTCGGACTTACGATGGACTCTGACCAGTATTTATATCTAAATAATGTATATTAGAGCTGATTTCCTCTATTCTTTTTATTTCAGTATTCAGTTCACTACTGTATAAACATTTAAAAATATACCAGAAATGTTATAAATGGTGCAAAGGTGATATTAAAACAATATCAAAGATGGTTGACACAAACCCACTACCATTATAGTATGCACCTCACTTAGCAACGAATTCTTTTAACGACGTTGTCTTAGGAACGGAACTCTGTCGTTAAGTGAGGAGAGGCTGTATTGATATTACTACTAGTATTACACCTCACTCTTAAGCCTATATATATCCTCTGTGTCCATTTATTGCTTGTAACAGCTTGATAAAGCTCCTGGAGTGTGAAACGTTGCCACAATAAAATGTCACATTAGTTGCACTTGTGTCCTTTTACCTAGCATGAAAAAGCTTCTCTATTATCAGGTATCTTTAGTGATCCATTATTTCTTACAGCTACTAAAGATACTTTTGAATTATGAAAAATTATGAGTGGTTTAATTGAATCTGTTTTGTGATGTATTACTTCCCAAGTTTTATATCATTCTATTTATATAATTAGGGTTCTCTGAAGTGTTACATTACACAGGATGAAAAAGAGCAAGACTGTTTCTCTGCAGAAATGCACTTGCATGAAAGGTTACTTATACCCATTTCTCACCATATGATTAAGTATACTCTATTTTTTCTCTAATTATTGTCCTAATTATAATGAATGTGAGAAGATTGATGGCATCACTTGTTTCAGCACTTAGATCAACAGGCATTATAATTTCTTTAGTGTTTTGTGCATCACTGGTTTGCTTCCAAAAGTAGACCGGACAGATTTTCACACAGTGACGTTTTTATAGAACTTTATACCGACTTGTTGAAAAAAAAAAAATTTGTTTTAGGTTTGGGAAATGGAACATATTAATAGCTGCATGAAAGTTAACAGGAAGCTTGCACACGTATTGTTGAAGACATTGACTCAGAATCTTGCTGTCAGAGTTATTGAAAGCATTTGTGTAGTGACAAAAGTAGGCTTGACAGCTGTATATATTTCTGTTACAGATACTATAAGAATCACTTCCTAGACACTTACCGCCAAGTAGCCATTGATGTTATGCTGGGGTTGGAACTCTCAGACAATCAGTGGCAAGAGATAGACTTTGTCGAGACTTTGCTCAATGTTGCAGGTGCCTTAATGCCTATTGGTCCGCCAAGTTACATGGCAGAGATCGCCCCTAGCAACGAGAAATACCTAGCAAGCGCCCTCTATTCTTTGTCCAGGTTAGGGCATTGCCCTATGGCAAGGGTTGTGTGCATTTTTCTAACTGAAACATAAAATTATGCCTGTTTAATTATGCATCATATCCCATAATAATCCCTGTCAAAATAATTATTAACTCGTTTTAATCTCACTCCTGTTCTTGGGATTTTTTAATTATGCTAGATTTTATTATGATACTAAGTAATTTAATAAGTTTTATGTGATTCCTAGTGGTAAGGATAATAAAACTTCCCTAGTTTCTGACTCATCACAAGTTTTCCTTATTACTCACATGGTTACATTATTATAGCAGACACACATTTTTGATTGCTAACATTATATTTTTTTTTTAGGTTTCCTATCTTTAAAGTTTACTCAGTGCTAATATGATTGTGTATGTGTTGTACAGTATAGTACATTGAAGAAGTTGGCACCGTGAGAGTGTAATGTTAGGTTTCCGACAATGGGTGTTTTGTTCAGCTTTCATTATCATATTGGCATTTATTTAGTTTGGATTATTTCTTTGAAATTTTACTAACATATATGTTGTCCTTAAAAAAAGTATATCTCAGTTTTATTACAAAATGGAATTAGAAGGCTTCTCAAGATTCCTTCATGCTATAGCTATGAATCCATTGATTTATTTTTATTTGGGATCTTCTTGCTCTGCATCAGTTTATACAGTGCTGTTTGTCAAGATTAATAGTTTTTCAGCTATTTAACCCTTTGAGGGTCGACAGGCCCTCTCCGAAACTCGTTCTCAGGGTCGGCCAAATTTAAAAAAAAAAAAAAATTATTTTCTCTTATGAAAAGATAGAGAATCTTTTCCCGATCATAAAGACACCAAAAGTTTGAAATTTGATAGAAAACTTACGGAATTATGCTCTCGCAAAGTTAGCAGTCTCGGCGATGTTTACGCATCGGCGATTTTGCCCACTTTGAGCCCCATTTTCGGCCAATTTCACTGTACTAGTCGAGAAAAAACATGAATATTTCGCTAGAACTCCATTTTTTTCTATCGAATGGGTGCAAGAAACCACCCATTTATGAAATTCAACTATCCAGTACAGTGGTCAGAATTTAGCAATTTTGCCAATTTCACACAAATTTCAAAAGATGCCAATTTCCGAATAGGGTCCAGAATAAACAAGAAAGACATTCCTGGCACTAAAATGACATTTCCTCTAGTCATTAGTCACGTCTCAAGGCCCCTCTTATATTCTTTTGCTTTCCACTTTGAATTTTTATTCTCACAAAAAATATAAGATTTACTGTTATGCAGACTACTGCATTAGTGTAAAAAATGGTATAAATATTATTGGTGCACTTGTGAAAGAATATTAGACTCACCAGTTGACGTGTATTGCACGCTTGGCACGATTTGTTTACTTTTGAAGTTTGGTAAAAATCGAACATTTCTGCTACTTTGAGCTCAATTTCAAGGCACCTTTCATTGTAAAACCAGTCAAAATCATCTCAATTTCTGTAATATGTCTTCCATTCTATAAAATGAGACCAAGAAAACTAGAATACAACAATAAATACCATACGAAAATACACTGCAAAGTCGCTGATTTATTCCAAAAAAATGGTCAAAGTTTTTTTTTCTCATTATGCACTGTGTGCTGCAGGATTTTTTTTAGACTGTGCACACTGACCACATAGACCCATTCTTTCATATGAAGGCCTACCAGCTTTCTCCCACTAGATTTGAGGCCGCTAGAATTTATGCGTACTAGTACGTCAAAAACCCCTACGCGTAAGACGTACTAGTACGACCAAAACCCTCAAAGGGTTAATTAACTGCAAGTGCTTAATTGAGGACACCATAGGGATTGTTCCTGATCCTAGTATATATGTGCTAGATATGATTTTCTCTGAGAAGTTCTGGTACACTGAAAGTGCTACTACAAGACCTAGGAAACTAGGTCCCCAAATAATTTCAGCCATAAATTGGACCTGTAAGATTAGGAAACTGTATAGTTGTTAGAATTACAATTATTACAGGAAAGCTGCCAAAATATATATATATATATATATTTTTTTTAACACACTGGCTGTCTCCCACCAAGGCAGGGTAACTTGAAAAAAAAAAACACTTTCACCATTATTCACTCTATCACTGTCTTGCCAGAGGCATGCAGATAGGACAGCTCAGACAACCCTCCAAAATAAAAATCTATTCGCTTAGATCTTGCCAGATGGTTGAGATTTATATCTTTGTTTACCTCCATTAAATTTTTAATTAACACTAGTATGTTGAGTATATTGAGTGGTATTTCACTTAAGTCAGGTTAGGATAGGACTGATTCCTAGCTTAAACTAATGTAAATTGCTTACCCATAGCCCCACTGGCTTATGGACACTTGATTGATACATAAATGTTTAGACATAAATAGAGTAATATGTATACTTATATAGTCTTTCTAATTTATGGCTCTGAAAGATCTTGAGTCTTTATTAAGCTGATCTCTGGAAGGCATCATATCTGTAATATCTTATTATCATTACTGCAAAATTCTAACAACTGCAAAATGAATGAAAGTAAGGTCACACCTTAAAAGTAGAGTCACACCAGTATTATCAGTCAGTGTGCTGAAAATTTGTAATGAACTAATGTAATAATTCAGTAGAATAATCGGGACTTGAGCCCGCAGTCTGGGAATACCAGATAGTGGTTTTGAATTCTGATCGTGCCAGTAAATAATCGCTCATGTTATGATTGGATTTTTTTTTAATTTCATGGGAATGGGTTATGTTATAACATAAACATTCATGATTATTTGGTATTTCCGCACATTTTCATTTAGTATCACTCTCAGATTCTTAACCTTTTGATTTATACAGTATTTTTAATTTTAATTTATAAAGTCAGTATTCATACTTAAGTGTGTGAAGGATTTTTTTCTCTTTCCACTTACATACCTTTGTTTATTTACCTTGATTCTTATCATTAGAGACTTTGTCAACTTGAAGTTTGGGTATTTTAAATCCAGTAAAGTGGAACCTCAGAAATCGAACGTATCACATATCGAACGTTTCGAAAATAGGACCATTTTTTCGAACAAACTGTGTCCCTATTATCGAACGCGCCCCTATTTTCGGACCGCCAGGTATGGAACCTGTCTGCCGCCCGCTCTGTCCGCATCCCCGCGCAGGCACCGTGAGCAGTCTAGCTTTGTTTATGCTTGAGTGAACACTAACCTGCGCTCTCATTCACGTATTTTACGATTATTTCATTGTGTTTAGTGCTTGTGGGACTGTGAAATAAGCTGCCATGGGCCCAAAGAAACTTGCTAGTGGTACCCCTGTGGTAAAGAAAGTGAGAAACACCATAGATGTGAAGAAGGAAATAATACAGAAGTATGAGAGTGGTGTGAGACTTGTTGAGCTTGCCAGGATGTATGGGAAAAACAAGTCGACCATCGGTTCTATCCTGGCAAAGAAAGAACAAATCAAGGAAGCTGATGTTGCGAAAGGTGTTAATTTAGGGAGTGGATGAGGTGCCTTCTTCAAAGATTAAGGAGATATGCGCCAAGTGGAATGATGTCCAAATGTTTGTGCAGAAGTACCACCCTGAGCAAGCTGAAACAAGCCATCTTTGCAACAAGTTCAGTGACAGAACCATGTCCCATTTTAGGGAAATGTTAGAGGCGCCAGAAACAGAGGACTGTGGTCAGTTATTTTGTGAGACAGGGGTCCAGTGACTCTCAAGCTGGTCCTAGTGGCATTAAAAGACAGAGAAGGGAAGTAACCCCAGATAGGGCTTTACCTGAAGTCCTCATGGAGGGGGATTCTCCTTCCAAACACTAACCCCAACTAACTCTCTCCTCCTCCCTATCTTCCAGATGCCATCACCAATCTTCAATAAAGGTAAGTAAAAATGTTATTTTATATGTATTACTATACATAATTAAAAACTATAGTATTTGTTGTATGTAAAACTGTAATTAACCTCTATAAAATGTATTTTTTGTGTGAATATTTTTGGGTTTCTGGAACGGATTAATTGTATTTCCATTATTTCTTATGGGAAATATTGCTTCGAATTTCAGACTTTTCGAATTTAGAACTAGCTCCTGGAACGGATTAAGTTCGATTTTTGAGGTTCCACTGTAATTAGGTATGTGTCATTTGAACTTCAGATACCTGTATGAACTCCCCTCTAGCACTTGTCACATTGCACATTCCCTAGTATTAATTTGCACACCCAGTAGTATCACTCAACAATTATCTAAGATTGCTTTATTTTAACTCTCTGCACTCTTATTTAGAATTGAAGCACTTGCTGTTCCTCTTCATTCAAGAAAATTGAGACAAATTAGCAATAATTTCATGAAAAAAGTGTTTAAGAGTATCTGCTTGAACATCCAGCAGGCATATGAGAGCTAGTTAGGTTAGAATGATTAGAGGTGAGTGCTCCATCAGAGTTGGCATTATGAGTTACATTAATATTTGCCTCATTGTATATTGTAATATTGTCTGTTATTACTAGTTAAACCGTGATATTTGTGTACAGTATTATAAGGTACAGTACATTAGTTTTTTACTACATCAGTCATTTCCCACCAAGTTAGGATGACCTAGAAAGGAAATTCATTCTATCTTTGATATACCTTTGGTTAGTTTTGAGAGTCTTACTATTGGAGCCCAGCCATGGTCTCATCTGGTGCTTGCCTGGTCAACCAGGCTGTTGCTGCTGGAGGCTCGCTGCCCCACATATCCATCACAGCCTGGTTGATCTGACACCTGGTGAAGATACTTGTCCAGTTTTCTCTTGAAGACTTCTACACTGTTCCAGCCATGTTTCTGATATCTTCTGATAAGATGTTGAGTAGTCTGGGCCCCCGAATGTTGATACAGTGTTCCCTTATTGTACCCACCACAGTGTTCAGATTTGGGACCAGGTCCTCGAGTACTTTCCAGGTATATTTTATCATGTATCTCTCTCTCCTCTCTTCAGTGAGTATATGTTCAAGACTTTAAGGCATTCCCAGTAATTTAAATGTTTTATCAGCTC